AATGTCAAACTTACAAAACTATTAAATTCCATCTTGATATTTTTACGCGCTGGGATTCGGGATAAATAAAAAATCTACAGAAGTACAAAAAGTAACACTGTATTTATCACTTAGAACACTCACAGAACACTTTTTAATTCTCAATTCGCTTCTTCCGCTTCGCTTCAGGAGACCCGTTCGCTATTTCGCTTCGAGTAGTTCTGATTACTGACTGACTGCGTGCCATCTCTGCAACACTTTTATATGTCGATACGATAACCCTAGAATTATCGAGAACATTCCTAACATGTCGAGTATTTTCGATGTGTGTTACCGCTATCTGACAATAGATGGCGTGTTTTTTCTCGAGCGTTCTAGATGTTACCAGATCCTTGTATATTTGTTTCGGCTATTCGGCGATAGATGACATTACTCTTACAGGCTTAACAATATTATAGAACAGCGGACATAACACAGTCACGAAATTCTAACATGATTCATTTTTGTCCGTTTTTGTTCTACTCTTGCACGGTCTTTTTTCCCCAACATAGGCTTTTGAAGATAATTAAGACTTTCTGTTCAAATCCAACGCCAATATTGTAAACAGAAATGTATCTGTAAAATCAACAATAATTTTAATCTAATTTGAAATTACTCGATGTGCTCATTATTGTAACTGAATAAAAACCTAAGGTGCTACCAACGAATTGTTCGAAGGTTTTGTCCGGGGGCAGATGGTATTAAATTCCTGAAAATCAGCTGCTGCGGCTTTACGTTCCTTGAAAATTCCGATTGCTCTTGTTTATTGTTACTAAAAGTTCTTGTGAAACAATGGCTTCACATGTTAGGTTTCCTACTACAGTTATAACACTATTTGCAGTTTTTGTTTACTTTTATCTTTTATTAAATGTGAAAAACTAGAATACCCTATTAAGCAGAATCATTTATTAGTAACATGAATTCTTTCCTATTCGCTGATAGCCTAAGGGACTATTTTAGCTATAGTGAGCGTACGGGCTCAACCTGAGAAAATTTGCAAACACTAACCCCTAGCCAGAGCAGTGCTTCGCAGAATCTACCACCGAATCATCGCGACTCACTGAGAAGACCTGTGAGAAACTCAGAGGGTTGTGTCCATGGGCTAGTTAGCTCATCAAACTCTTGGGTGACTAATCGAAGGACCCATAATGAAATCCGGGGGACTCGACAAGACATGTTTCGGGCGACGGCGGCTTGGCGATGCTACGTTGCCTGGATCGGGTATGTAATTAGCGGCGGCCACGACAAGAGGATTATCGTGCCGCGTCACTTTGTTGAAGTAGCATTCTGATGCTACTTTAAGATACTTACCGGTTCTAAATTTAAATTGTAATTGTTTCCTAGCTGGTGGTAGATAGAGCATGGGTAGAAACAATCATCTTAGGTATTCTTGACGCTAAACAGTCCTGCGTTCCGGTTTAAAGGTGCGATATCTGTTATATAAACTTCGATCCCATGTCTAAAACAGCAGCATTCATGCTGTTGTATCTATGGGCTTTGTTAAGCCACTTAATAACAGGTGGGTTTTGGGCTCCATAGGCAGTCAGATAAAATTACTCTAAATCTCCTGAAGTAAGTTTATGGTAAGCTAATATTGACTGAAATCCAGTTTACAAACCTTAAGTACTTACAATGAATCCTTCATGGAGAGCGAGGAAGGAAAATGCGTTTAGAAACCCTTGTAACTCGATCGAAGCTCTGACACACGAAATTATCTTCCCTTACCCCTCCCCTTGTTCAAATCAAACAGAAAACATTGGTTTTCTGTTCAAATCCATTTCTGTAATGGAAAATTATTTACAATAGACTTAAAATAAAAGACTTTCTGCGATGAAAGTATATTCTTATTGTTTATTAAAAGTCACCCAAGGCGTATTTCATTTTGATTAAAAAAAACGTAACAAAAACCAATAAGTAATACAGTTCAAAAATATCCTAGAAAATATATTTTTAATAGAATAAGTAGACTGGTTTTATTAATGCATTAATCTGGCCGACGACTGCTGAGATTTAACACTTTCGTCTCATAATAAAGAGTTATTTCTCTGTTCAGATTTATTGGAGTCGCAAGGTATTCACTCTGAAAAACAAAAGTGCGGTTAGAAGCTTATTTTCGATTCCAATGTGTGGCCTGCATTTGGTTTTTTAAGCTTCGTAAAGCTAAAAAAAAACTCACGACGTACCTAGTGAGAAGTATTTATAAGAACCCATACCGCAAAATGAAATTTTTCAAGCCGGACCGTAAAACATGCTGTAGAAAACTTTATCACATTGAAATAATGTCTATATTACTTACACCTGAGATGGTAGTTAAGGTAAGTTAGGTAATATAATGATAAGCTCTGTGCCCGGAATGTCTCGGTAGAATAAGATTGCCTCATTACTGTTTGGTTTGAAAGGCATTATATCCTTTTATCCTTTTTGGGACACAAGCACACAAGACTCTTTCTTAGTTAATAAACTTTATTCTATTTGTTATATTTAGTTTAATGAAACTCTCAATGTTTTATGTAGGCGGAGAAAAGTTTTAGTAGATTTTAAGTCCTTTCTAAGATCTTAAAAAAAAAGACTATAATATGAAGGATGAAAAAAATTGCGAAATTAAAGAACTCACTGGCTTGACTTTTCGCCAAACCATTGCCACCATCGAATTTAAATATCACCTACCACCAGCTCTTGCCAGCCACCATGCATAGACTCACTTCACTGAGCCTGATGGCATCCTGCACTACATTTGTTAATTCACGGTTAATAGATAACCATTATCATACGTTTTTTATTGCTTCGCACTCCAACCAAAAAGTTCCCACTTTGGGTAACTGACATAATTATTTAAGTGGTTAACATACTCACTTTTACTACTCTTAAATCTTTGTTATTTGGCTTAAAAAATACAAGTAATATTCGACAGTACAGTACGTTATAAAACATAACGTCACTAAAGCTCAGTTTTGTATACGCTCAAACATCCATATAAGACTTAAGGGAGATTCTACGACACATTAACTGCGATTGTAAAAGCTGAAACACATATTTCATATGCATAGTTTTAAAATCGAAAATTTTCAATATTAAAACTCTCATAGCATATTAAAGTCGGTATTCACCATCTCAATTTTTAAGTCACTGCATAGGTTGTTCGTCCATTATCTAACAAACAATAAGCTGAAATACGGTTGAGCATAGCCGTCAAAAACGTTATGAGCCCGCTTTATGATCTAGACGGGTGGGCAATACCATTGCACTTTAATCTTCATTGCACCTACCCGGAGATCACGTTGCCGGGAAATTGCTGACTAATTAATACGTCTGTATTTTATATACATAATAGAATAAGATTTCGAATAACTAAAGATATTTTCGAATGGGATTATGAATTGCACGTGTGAATGTTCTCTTGAAATATATTTTTCGGTTTTGATCAGCAGACCAGATAGACGATCGGAGCCATGACGTGAAACGTATTTCGGATCGTCAACTGCTTCGCCACAGAAAGAGGTAAGAAGGCAGATAGCACTTATCCGGGTGGGCTCAAAGTGTATACTCTATCATGTCGTCGTGGCCTAAAGGATAAGACGTCCGGTGGATTCGTGTGTAGCGATGTACCGGTGTTCAGATCCCGCAGGCGGGTACCAATTTTTCTAATGAAATACGTACGAATCGAAAAAAAAACTTTGTTTCATAAGCAATTTTAATGGTTGCCATATATTGGAGGATCGTTCACCAAACACAAAGCTACTTTACATCCAAATAAAAACCATTAAGTTAACATCAATTTTCCCAAAAAAAGAAAAAAGAAAATACTAAAAGCATATTAATGAGTTCGCCTGCGAAGTGCGTGCAGATAAATATTGAACAATGGCTCTTTATTATTGAATTGCGCTGAAAGAGGTCTATTCTATGCGAGAGCTATTATGCAAAGAAGTTACAATACCGATTTTCCGTTGAAATTAATGATCGTAAAATGTCCTCGAGTATTTTTGGTAGAGTAATCAATCAAATCGTGGATCGCCCCTGAATTCCTATTGTGAATTGTGAATGAGAAATTGTTAAGGCTGTTTAATTGACTTCTGTCTGTTTGTTAATTAAGCGCCCGCTCAGTTTACGTTTCAATGTAAAAAAATGAAATAATAAATTGAAACTATGCTTTAAGTTGTTAACGTGCTTAAGTTAACATACCTTATTTAAAATACAGGGCGGTAATGTATTAGGTATATAAATATTAGTATTAGGTATATACTTATCTATAAAATTGTCGTTAGGTATACAGAAAGTATAGAAGTCATCGCGACCTAAAGAATAAAACGTCCGGTGCAGTCGTATCAAACGATGCAACGAAGTTTGAATCCCGCAGGCGGGTACCAGCTTTTCTGATGAAATACGTACTTAACAAATGTGCACGATTGACTTCCACGGTGAAGGAATAACATCGTGTAATAAAAATCAAACCCGCAAAATTATAATTTGCGTAATTACTGGTGGTGGGACCTCTTGTAAGTCTGCACGGGTAGGCACTACCTCCCTGCCTATTTCAGCCGTGAAGCAGTAATGTGTTTTGGTTTGAATAGTGCCGTAACTATAATTGAAACCTTAGAACTTATATCTCAAGGTGGGTGGCGCATTTACGTCGTAGATGTCTATGGGCACCAGTAATCACGTAACACCAGGTGCGCTGTGAGCTCATCCTCCCTATGCAATGCAGTTAAAGTTAATTTACCAAAAAATTCCAACCCTGTTATAGCTTAAATGCCCTATGAGGTCAAGTTTTGTCGTATAGTAGCAGCGGAGACGAGCGGTTAACTAAAGCTGGCCGGAGATTTGCGAGTTTCTCCACCATTGGGTCCAGTTTCTCACAATACACATCCATAAGAAGCTGCTATGGAATTATACCGGCACTAACCCGTCAAACAATGACCATAACATTTTAGGAGCAAGTTTTAGTTTGCGGCATTGCCTAAGTGTTAAACCAGGATCTAATCAACATGTCTGCTCCCAACACCTGCAGATCGTTGAGTCCCACATATCGCGCGCACCCCCTAGGTGCGGGGACCTCGTAGGAGGTTCGGCCCCCGGCCCGGAAAAAAAAAGGTCTAATCAACATGACGACCGTTTACGTGTATAAAAAAAAAACATTTTTCAAAGTAGTGACAGTCCGTTTGAAAATCTGTTTCTAGGTCTGTTAGGAAACGAAAGAGCTTGTTCCTTTGCGCTGGCACACACTTATGTAGTTTTTTTACTTGCTAATTTAATGCAAATTATCTAATATTGTATTGAAGCTCACGTTGAAAGCTACCGCTACTCAACGGTAGATTGAGTACCATCACCTTCCACTATCGCTTCCAATTCGTCGTTGTTGATTGTCGTTGCTGTTTTCAATCGACCACGGGGTTCATTTTATACATGAACATTTCAATTTTGAAAGCGTTCAAAGCGTTCATAACGAGTCGTGAATTCGTAGCTTTCACACACGTCATTAATGAAGTGAGTCGTTTATGCGGCATTGCTACCGCGACGAAAATAGTATTCCATAATTACTCGTATTGTTATATGTTTTTTTCAATAAAATTTGAATATAGAATTTATAACCAGCCATTCGTAAATAACATTTCAAATGGCGGGTCTTGTAAAACACTAACTTCATTAGGTGACGATATATTATTTTAAAATGAAAACATTTCTTTGCGCGCCTTTAGAAAAAATAAAGGTAATTATATCATTTATTTCATTTAAATTAAATAAATATTGTTACAGAAACGAATATCAAAGAACTAGTAACATCGAGAACGCTCGAGAAGTACAGCGCCATCTATTATCAAATATCCGAAATCCATATCGAAACTACTCGACCTGTCAGGAATGGTCTCGATAATTCTAGGGATGTCGTATAGATTATAAAAGCGTTGCAGAGATGAGATGAAGGCAGCTAGTAATCGGATCTACTCGAAGCGAAACAGCGAACGGATCACCTGAAACGAAGCGGAAGAAGCGAATTACGAATTGTAAAGTATTCTGCAAGTATTCTAAGTGTTAAATAGAGTTTTAAGTGGTACTCAGGTGGAAGTTTTCTTAATCCCGAACCTCAGCGCGTAACAATATTGAATTTAAAGGTGAGCATTATTTTGTCGGGCACTTGGCCAAGCCTTTTACGAGATCTCGGGGCATGTGGGACTTGACGATCTGCAGATGTTGTAAGCAGATGGCGGGCCCAACGATGTTTTTAGGGCCCTATCGCACTAAGCCAGTGATTATCAAACTTATTTCTTTTACCGCCCCCTTTGAAAATCAATTATTTTTCAGCGCCCCCCATTTTTTATACACCCCTAAAACTTTAAAACCACAATTTCATTAATTTAATTAATAAATGTTGTATTAATTTTAGTAAATATAGTACCACGTAGTACATATTATGTATTTGTAGATGCTATTATTGTTTCCTCTTATTATTATATGTCCGTACATTGCTGCAGAGCGTGTATTTACAAATTTGCAAAGTAAAAATGAATTCTTCTCATCAATATGTTTGTTTAAATTCAGAATTACCAAAATAAATTGCTAGTTCACTGTACTATTACTATGCTAATTTATTAGAACGAAACTATTTTTGTTGAATATCTTTCTTATTAATATACCTAAGATTCTCATCATAAGATAATTAAAAATTTATATTTCGACTAGTAAATAATACTACGAACAATAATAACTTATTAAACTACGAATAAGCTAAACCTGGAAGTCGTAGAGGATTTCATTTATCTGGGCTCCGTCATAGCTAGTAATGGATCCTCCGAAAAGGACCTCAGAAGGCGAATCAGTATGGCAAAGAAAGCTATGTCCCAAATGGACCGTGTTTGGGCGGACAGAAACATCTCGAGGAATACCAAAAAGCAGCTCGTCACCTCCCTCGTCTTTTCCATTTTTCTCTACGGCGCAGAGACTTGGACCCTCAAGAAAGCCGACCGCCAACGCATCGACGCATTTGAGATGTAGTGCTGGAGGAAAATGCTCGGGATTCGTTGGACAGAACACAGAACCAACGAATCCATTCTTACCGAGCTCAAGATTCCAATGTGCTCAGCACTACATGCACGCGGAGGAGTTTCGAGATCTTTGGACATATCGCCAGAAAGAGAGGTGACAATCTGGAAAAGCTGCTGGTAACAGGCAAGGTATGCGGGAGAAGGCCCAGAGGCAGAAATCCAATTCGCTGGTCGAACCAAATACGCTCCACTCTCAATACCTCAGTCCACGTTGCTATCCACACAGCTGAGGACAGGCAGGAATGGCGCAAGATGATGCAGGAGAAAGTTGTTAGAGGAGGCCACGACCCTCAGCACGGAGGATTATCGACGCAAGAAGGAAGGAAACTACGAAAAATAAATTAACATCATTTCGTATTATAGATAAATATGGGTAATTTTTCATAGAATTTTAGATTATAATTTAGAACTGGTTCAAATAAAAACCGCCGCCCAAGTCAGCGTTTTTATTATTTGTAATAATTAATATCTATACTAATATTATAAAGAGGAAATATTTGTTTGTTTATTTGTATTGAATTAAACCGATTTGAAGAATTCTTTCACTGTTTGGAAGCTTCACTATTCTCGAGTGACATAGGTTATAATCTTTTTTGAAAAAAATTAGGTATCCTTACTAAGATATAATACTTACTTACCGGCGAGGGGGGCCTAAGAAGACGACGTGCAAGCTGCTCTGCACGCGTTTTACGCAAGAGCATCCGGGTGATGGAAGGCCGGCTATCCTCGACCCACGCTGGTTCTGGCCCAGCGGGGTATTCCGTAGGGTAACCCACTCTAACCGGCGCCATCTAGGCGGGCTTCGGACAGTCTGCCGACCGAGAGGGCTGGTGGTCGTGGCGCCGACGACCGCCAGTCCGGCGTCCCGAGGGGGAGGGTGATGGGAGAGATGTGCTCCGCACTAAACGCTTCACTTTCCCCCCTTTGCCTTGTCATGAGTTCTGTCTCATGCGAGGTTTGGACGTTGGTTGTTGAGCGACAGGAGGTTTTAGTCAGTTCGACTCTGACATACCCCGCCCAGTATCCCCAGAAAAGGGCGGAAGTCCGGCGATTTCCTCCTGACCAAAAAAAAAAAAAAAAAAAATCATCCAATAATTTAACCCAAGGTGAAAAAAAATACCTAAAATATTATTTACCTACGAAAACTATTGATGATAGAATAAAATAATGTACTACGACTTTGTAAAAAACATTATTATTTACAAAAAGAGTCGCAACAGCATATGTCTAACTATTATAGTTATGCCGCAATAAGTGTTCTTTTATTTAAAGAAATGCCCCTGGTAAGACACGGGGTGCCCCCCCCTACCTTCGCCGACTGGTGGCTTCCTACTTGGAGGACAGATCGGTCACGTGTACTGGACACGGTGGCATCGTGCACAGGTTCCCGGTCGTGCGCGGTGTTCCACAGTGGTCGGTGCTCGGCCCCCTTTTGTGGAATATCGGGTATGAATGGGTACTAAGAGGTGCGCTCCTCCCGGGCCTAAGCGTAATCGCAGACGACACGCTGGTCGTGTCCCGGAGGGGGAGGGGGGAGGGGGGGTTGCTGAGTTTGCTCGTCTTGCCACTGCTGGGGTGGCGCATGTCGTCGGCAAAATCAGGAGATTGGGCCTCGACGTGACACTCAGTAAATCCGAGGCCATGTATTTCCACAGGCCCCGGAGAGTGCCACCTGTCGATGCCCATATCGTCATTGGAGGCGTCCGTATCGGGTCGGGGTGCAGTTGAAGTACCTCGGCCTCATTCTGGACAGTCGTTGGACCTTCCGTGTTCACTTTCAGAACCTGGTCCCTCGTTTGTTGGGGGTGGCCGGCGCGTTAAGCCGGCTTAACATCGGGGGGCCTGACCAGGTGACGCGCCGTCTCTATACGGGGGTGGTGCGGTAAATGGCCTTATACGAGGCGCCCGTGTGGGACCGGTCACTGGCCGTGGGGGTAGCGAAGTTGCTGCAAAGGCCGCAACGCACCATCGCGGTCAGGATCATCCGTGGTTATCGCACCATCTCTTTCGAGGCGGCGTGTGTACTGGCTGGGACGCCGCTTTGGGTCCTGGAGGCGGAGGCGCTCGCCGCTGACTATAAGTGGCGGGCTAACCTTCGTGCCCAGGGCATGGCGCGTCCCAGCCCCAGTGTGGTCAGAGCGCGGAGGGCCCAATCTCGGCGGTCCGTGCTGGAGTCATGGTCCAGGCGGCTGGCCGATCCTTCGGCTGGTCGTATGACCGTCGAGGCGATTCGCCCGGTTCTTGTGAATTGGGTGAATCGTGACAGAGCACGCCTCACTTTCCGTCTCACGCAGGTACTCACTGGGCACGGTTGCTTCGGTGAGTTCCTGCACCGGATCGGAGCCGAGTCGACAGCAGAGTGCCACCATTGTGGATGCGACTTGGACACGGCAGAGCATACGCTCGTCGCCTGCCCCGCATGGGAGGGGTGGCGGCGTGTCCTCGTCGCAAAAATAGGAAACGACCTATTTTTGCCGAGTGTCTTGGCATCGATGCTCGAAGTCGTGGAAAGCGATGCTCGACTTCTGCGAGTGCACCATCTCGCAAAAGGAGGCGGCGGGGCGCGTGAGAGATGCACAGGCCCGCCGCCGTCGAGCGGGGTCCAGGGAGGCGGATCTCGCTCAAGCCCTGGCCCTCTAAGTGTTTCGGGTCTCCCTCACATGTCGGCCTGGGGATCGGCGAAGGGGGCCTAAGAAGACGACGTGTAAGCTGCTCTGCACACGTTTTACGCATGAGCATCCGGGTGATGAAAGGCCGGCTATCCTCAACCCACGCTGGTTCTGACCCAGCGGGGTATTCCGTAGGATAGACCATTCTAACCGGTGCCATCTAGGCGGGCTTCGGACAGCCTGCCGACCGAGAGGGCTGGTGGTCGTGGCGCCGACGACCGCCAGTCCGGTGTCCCAAGGGGGAGGGTGATAGGAGAGATGTGCTCCGCACTAAAGGCTTCACTTTCCCCCCCTTTTCATGAGCTCTGTCTCATGCGAGGTTTAGATGCTGGTT